CGCGCCCGCTCCCCGCCAGCCATGAGCTCCTCGCAGTTCAACAAGGGGCCCTCCTACGGGCTGTCGGCCGAGGTCAAGAACCGGGTGAGCGGGGTCAGGGGCCGGGGCGGGGTCAGCAGGGCTCAGGGGTCCCCGGGAGGCTGCTCCAAGCCGCGGGGTGCAGCGAGGTCTGGGATTTGGGGAGAGCGACTCGCGCCTGTCCCCAACGTCTGAGTGGACTTGGTCAAGGCCTCCTCTCCGGCTGAAGCCCCCTGCCCGCACTCCACCCTCTGCCCTGGGCCCCTGGAAGGTAGCCCGCCCTGAGGGTCTGGGGGCACCCCAGCTGGCCCCCTCCGCTACCTCGGGGCGCACTTCTGCTTTTTGAGATGGGAGGGGCGGGACCGGGCCCTTTGCGGAGGGCGTACCCCCACCCCAACAGGAATTTCCTGGTTTCACACCTGGGAGGCGGGTTGGTGGGAGACGCCCTCCGGAAAAGTTTGGGCCTGGGCTGCGTCTCCTTCCTTCTTTGCGCCCAAAGAGGGGGTGTCCGTGAATGTGCCCCTAAACATGGTGATTTGTCACCTGCAAACACAAAGGGGTGGGAGGTGGGACAGTGGCAGAAACCACCACGGTCTGGCCCAGAGAGGGGTAGATAAGAGAAGCGGGCGGTAACCCCGGGCCCCAGGACAGACACCCTCAACCCCTCTACCCTGGCACACCCTCCCACCAGGCACCTGGGAATGTAGGCTGGCGGACAGAGCCTGCCTGGGCACGTGGAGTGTGCCATCCTGTGCCAGCCACCTGCACTGTCCCCGCCCACCCTCCCCAACTAGGGCATGGGCTGCAGCAGGGCAAATAAAGGGAGAGCTGTGGGCTTCCCTAAGGTCCCTTTCCCCCCACCCCAGAGTAACGGGGGGACTCATGCCCAAGTCTGTCATCTGTGTGTGTGTGTGTTGATAGGGCAGGGTAGATGGGGTGCACACCCCCATCCAGAATCATCTTAGGGCCTCCATAAGCACACGGAGTTCAGAGAGGTTATTTAGGGGCCCAGAACCACACAGTGCTGGCATTTGAATCCATGCCCGCCTGGGTCCAGCACCTAATGTCCACTGGTTCTCAGGTGCCACTGCCCTGCACTGCCAGTCTCTATGTGGATGAAGACATGACAACCCTGGGGTGGGGCAGCCTCCGAAAGCCACTGGGGCAAGTGGTGACCTGTTTGCCCAGGATGAGGTCAGCTCCTGGTCTGGAGAAGAAGCCTTCCAGCAGTGGGAAACCAGTTTCCTGCGACTTTGAGTCATGCTCTGTCCACTGGTCTGTCCAGCTTCTCTCTCCACCCCAGGCCTCAGTTTACCCCCTGCTGGGCAACACGGGCAGGCCAGTGTCCAGCATGCCTCCTGAGGTCGGCTGAGACATCCATGCTGTGTGTGTGTGTGTGTGTGTGTGGAGCGTGGACTAAACAGCCGGGCACAGCTGGTCCCAATTTAGCTGGGACCGCGGCTGCATTCCTGCCTGTTTGCGGTAAGCAGGAATGTGCTGAGGGCGGGCGCCCTGACCGGGCAAGGGGAGGAAGTTGGCTGCAGTGGGTGGGGCCAGGCCAGGCGCCTCCACCAGGACCCCTGGCTCCTTGGCCCCCATGAGCCAGTGGGGACAGGGCCCAGCTGGACAAGCGGACAAAGCAAGCTGCAGGCACCCAGGGCGTGGGAACCTGCAGGCTCAAGCCTGAGGGGATGAGTTGGAGGATCAGGTTGGGGGCTGGCCTCCCCCCCTGCCCTCCCCCCTGGTCTCCCCAGAGCTCCAGCCCCAGCTCTGCGCCCCCCCCCCCCCAGGAGGACCTGCAGGAAGCAGAAGCTTTATGCTAATCATTATGCTAATGATTCCAAATGTAGGGAAACTGAGGTGGGGATGTGCCCCATCCCCATCCAGGGGCTGGAGGGGAGCTGAGAGTGGGAAGTGGCTATACCACAGCCTCCTTGCGGGGAGAGAGGGGGTGCCCTCTCCCCCAGGGATCTGTGAGGAGCGGAGGACCCACTGGCCTGGACCGCCTGTCCGGAGGACACCTCCCTTCCCCCTTCCTGCCCCCCCACATGTCCGCCAGTGTCTCCCACTCTGCCTTCATCACCCTGGAAGGCCCTATCACAGGGAGAGGGGTGCTCAGGGAAAGTGGATCAGGCTCTGAGATGGCAGAGCTTACAGAGGGAACACTCGGATTTGAAGGGGTGTCCATAAAGAGCCCTCCCCCACATCGAGTCCATCCCACTCGCAGTGACCCCATAGACCAGAGGAGGACTGTCCCTGTGGGTGTCCAAGGCTGAGACTCTTCACAGAAGTAGAGCGCCTCCTGGTTTCGAATTACTGACCTTGCAGTTAGCTGCCGAATACTTAACCCATAGCACCACCAGGGCCCCTTGATGAAAGCCAGGGCAGAAAACAAAACTGTTCAGGACAGAGGGCAGTCACCCTGAGCTACCACTGGGGGAGCGAGGGGGGTGGAGACAGCACAGGCCAAGGTCCTGGAGAGGCTCCGGGGCTCCCCCAAGGGACTGTGTGGCTGCCAGC